TCCCCTTTGCCATCCCATTCAGTGCAATGTTGCTTGGTGCATGTTTCCTTGCAGTCCTTTTTGCATTTGTCATCCTCATCATTCACACAGTTATCCTCACATATTTGTGAGCATGGTGAATCACATGTTTCCTTACCTTGGTTTTAAAATTTTTAAAAATTTCTTAATGTGTATAGCTGATAAAATAGTTTAAAATCTTTTTACTTACAATGTATGCTAGCAATTGTCACAGTTATGACCAAGCACATCAGTATCAGCTTGGTATTCATCGTGTTAACTGTAATTTATGATAGGTTTAATGAAATTAAATAAAATATATAAAAACTAAAACTTCCAATATGTTTTAGTCCAAATATGAAACTCATTTTAATTAAATATTTTATTAATAAATTTTGTAAGTTTTAATTATATTAATATTAAAAATTATGTATGTTTTAAAAATTATAACATATAATTAAAATGTGTTGGTAATAACCAGGTTTGGTGTAAAAAGCATATTTTTACATAATTTCAAATTTAATTCAAAATCTTTAATATTATACAAATGCTAATTCTTAAGCTAAAAATACAATTATAATGCTCATACATAATAAGTTAAAACATTTTCAACAAATATTAATGCCATTAGTACGTATTTAAGAAATTAGCTTGTATATTAAAACTCATTTATAATATTAATCTTATTTCCAGGATAACAATCAATCTGGATTTGTAAAAACGGATATATTTAAGTTTGGTGATTATAGCATACGACAAATGGTTGAGAAATATGCCTATGACATTTTGTTAAGTTTCATTTGCGACGATATGACTATCATACTATTGGTACGTCAAATAGTTAATAATTAATATAATTATTTAGTTTACGCTCATTTCTATTTAATTATAGCTAAAGGCAATCATACTTTTCAACCCAAACCGCCCTAACCTCTCGCATAAACTCAATGTCAAGTAAGAGTCCACTAAAATACAGAATATTCTGTATAAATATTATTTATTTCCGTATATTTATTAGACTAGAGCAGCAACTTTACATTTATTTACTACAGCGATATTTACTATTGAAATGCCGATCGAAACCAGAATCGCAAACAATGTTACAAAAACTGATGACAATGTTAATGGACGTCCACTTTGTGAGTGAATTAGAGTTAACGCATGGTATGCAGGAATACCGGCAATATATACACTATTTCGGACCATTGATGAGGGAAATATACCCTGTTTAATACGAATGCTAATTCATATGCAAAAATACTATTAAAATGCTCATATATATATAACAATTTTAAACATTTTCAATAAATATTAGGCTAACTTTTGTTATAATAATTTTAACTGTAAAATTTAACATAATAAATGATAACATTGCTAAGTTATTGTCATTTATGTAATGTACCAAATTTCATAAAACGCCTTATCAGGAAGTTTGTAAATTATTATGTAGCCTAGGAGCTATTAAATAAATGTATAATGTTTTAATGTCGCTGCAAAATATATATTCAATTTTAAATTGTGTTTAAATGAACAAAATTTGAACTAAAACACGACTATTATTAAAATAATTTAAATATTAATAATTATTAACTAATAATATGAGTGATAATAAAATCGTGAAAATTTGTGAGGTTTGTGGGGACAATGCAATCGGTATACTATTTAATAATTAATTATTATTATGGATAGTCATAAATTATAATAAAATTTGAACTAATTTTACAATTTATACAGGTAGAAATTTTACGGTTATGACTTGTGAATCGTGCAAATCATTTTTTAGGCGAACTGGGATCGTAAATAAAGTATTGATAGTTTATCTAAATTAAAAATACATTATTAAATATTTTGGTATTAATACAGCCATTAATATGTCCATCAAATGGCAAATGCATTATAAACTCATTGACTAGAAGGATATGCCAAAAGTGTAGATTTGAAAAATGCCTTACTGTCGGAATGAAAAAAGTATTTATTTATTTACAATATTAATTAAAATTTTATTATTTTATTATAAAATAATTTGTTAGGAATTCATACGGAATGGAGAGGAAAATGAATTAAGAAAACAATTGATTAGAGAAAACAAATTAAAACGAAAACTACATAAAGAAAGGATTAATTGTATGACATCTTCAGACACTAACTCAACAAATGACACCGACTTTGGAAATGAGTTTTTAAGTGATTTTTTAGAAAAGTCCGTAAATATTAATGACAAAGATGTTAGTGATCGGGGTATGGGAATTGAAAGTGTGATCACAATTAGTACAAATGCTAAAAACAAGAGATTATTGTCGGATATAATAAGTAGATATCAATGTATTTACTCATTAGTCCCTATGTATAAGGAGTTAACCGATTATAACGGTATTAATGAGTTGGAGAGAAATAGGATCAGGGAACTTATGAGCGCTTCCAATGTGTTTAACTATCAATTAACACAAAATAGACATTTAATAAACACTTTCGAAGAATTTTGCAAAATGACTACAAATTTTAATGAAAATTTTGTTAAAGATATGATTAGCTTCACTAAAAATTTGAGTGGATTTAAAAATATTTGTACCGAGGATCAAATATCACTGTTTAAGTACGGTTTCAATGAATTGATGATGGTGGTGCTATTTAAATATTATGATAAACAAAACGATAGTCTATTAATGCCGTTGGTTAGTGTTTAACATGTAAATTAAATATTCTTATAAAACTCTATTAATATATAAAAGGACAATGGTGAGACTGGGCTAATAAGTGAGGATATTTGGAATTATAGTAGATATGATCATGGTACTCATACTAGGCTTGAGGCAATGGTTGACAACGTTATATTAAATATAAACTTTGATGATAAAATACTCATTTCATTGGTAAGAATTTATTAATAATATACAATTGTTAAATTTATTCATCATGTTTGATTTATAAAAATTTTGATTTACAATAAATAAAGTTGACGGCTATCGTATTATTCAACCCGAATCGACCCCACCTAACCCATAGGCACAATGTTAAGTAAGTTTAGATTTTGTGATTAACTAGAATTTTTAAATTATTATTATCTTTAAAACTGATGAATGGTTAGACTGGAACAGCATCTATACATATATTTGTTGCAAAGGTATCTACAATTAAAATATGGACCAAATTCAGAGTCGCAATCAATGCTATCAACAGTAATGAAGTGTTTACTTGATTTGCATGTTATAAGTGAATTGGATCTGGCACACAGTTTGCCAGAATACAAACAACTTATTCATTATTTTGGTCCACTTTGTAGAGAAATATTCAATTTATAAATTGTAACAATCAACCCATTATTGATTAATATTTTTAACATATTAATTAGAACGTTGCTATAATATTGTTATTTATGTAATTTCATTAAAAGTTTGATAATTTCATCAAATTTCATCAGTGGAAGTTTGATAATTTTTTTATGTAGCCTACAAACACTCAAATAAGCGGATAAACTTTAAAATGTCTTTACAAATTGTATTTTAAAATTTAATTTGTATTTTAAATAAACAAATTTTTAACTAAAACACAAGCAGTATATTATTTGAAATAATATAATTATTAATTCATTATTGAAGATATCACTTCACTTCATAACTAGAATCTCCAGAAAAGTGGAAATAAAAGTGGGTATTATATAGACGGCTACTTGTATCACGGTGATTAATACAAAATTTATGCACTATTTTAATCTCCTTTGATTTAAAAAAAATATTTATCCTTTATAATAATTTTATATGAATATTCAACTGATAAAACACTCAAACTTGTATTTATCGATCAAACAAATATATTATGAATAATAAAATATACTGAATTTTCAGTAATCAACGAATTCCAATAAAATTATAATAAATAGTCATACAATTTTACCAAATAACTATTTATATCCATATAAACAAATAATCATATAAAATTATTATAAAGTATTAATATTTTTGAGAATTACAAATTGATTAAAATAGTGAATAGGTTTTGTATTAATCACCGTGATACAAGTAGCCGTCTTTATAACACCCACTTATTTCCACCTTTCTGGAAATCCTATTCATAACCAATTAATTAATTAGCATGCTCAATTAAAATAAATATTAAAATATAATTTATACTGAATTTTTGTGCTCTTTCCAATGAACTATTCAAATTTGTTCTAGGACATACAGTTAAAATGTTATAAACAAATTTTCGTGAAATTTTAAAAACTGATAACTTACTAACAATCGCATTTTTATTACAAACAGAATAATGTCGGAATTTTTAAAATTGTATTAAAAATTCCCAAGATACAATTATATAAAGGTGGAGCGTTTTAGAGTAAATTATGAAAAATGAAGTGATATCCCCATGTATTTCAATGAGAAATGTTAGTAAACCTTTGAAATTAAATTATTAATTTATCCAGATGAGTTTATATGGCACAGAGTATACCGTTTGATTACGCGATTATTGACTTATATTTTGGTGAAAACAAATTAAAAATTGAATTATCCGTTAAAAGTCTATTTAACATTTTCCTACTAAAGGTAGATTTGGCTAAAGTTATGGTGCTTATTATGATTAACGTCTTATCAGTGGAAGTTTGATAATTTTTTATGTAACCTAGGAGTTCTCAAATCAGTGTATACTCTTTGTAATATCATTAAAAATTATATATTCAATTTTATTTTGTATTTTATAACATAATAACCAGGTAATATTAAAGCAGCAAAGAAAACATAAAAAATAAATTATTTATTTTGGCTTAAATAAATTATTACAATTTTCATTATTTTTAATTTTGAAATTTTGCTCAACTATTTGAACTCGCTCCATTAGGCACACGGCTTGTGTCTGTGTTAAACTAATCAATGGAGTGGCACCGGGACTATTCCCCTTTGCCATCCCATTCAGTGCAATGTTGCTTGGTGCATGTTTCCTTGCAGTCCTTTTTGCATTTGTCATCCTCATCATTCACACAGTTATCCTCACATATTTGTGAGCATGGTGAATCACATGCGTCCTCACCTTGGTTTTAAAATTTTTAAAAATTTCTTAATGTGTATAGCTGATAAAATAGTTTAAAATCTTTTTACTTACAATGTATGCTAGCAATTGTCACAGTTATGACCAAGCATATCAGTATCAGCTTGGTATTCATCGTGTTAACTGTAATTTATGATAGGTTTAATGAAATTAAATAAAATATATAAAAACTAAAACTTTCAATATGTTTTAGTTCAAATATGTAACTCATTTTAATTAAATATTTTATTAATAAATTTTGTCAGTTTTAATTATATTAATATTAAAAATTATGTATGTTTTAAAATTTATAACATATAATTAAAATGTGTTGGTAATAACCAGGTTTGTTGTAAACAGCATATTTTTACATAATTTCAAATTTAATTCAAAATCTTTAATATTATACAAATGCTAATTCTTAAGCTAAAAATACAATTATAATGCTCATACATAATAAGTTAAAACATTTTCAACAAATATTAAAGCATATTTTTACATAATTTCAAATTTAATTCAAAATCTTTAATATTATACAAATGCTAATTCTTAAGCTAAAAATACAATTATAATGCTCATACATAATAAGTTAAAACATTTTCAACAAATATTAGACTCATCTATTGTTACATAATTTCAACGTAATATTATAAATGAAAACATCGTGGTAATCTCATTATTTATGTAATGCACCCAATTTCATAAAAAAAGTCTTATCAGTGAAAGTTTGATAATTTTTTATGTAACCAACTTGTAACCAGTTTTATGTACTCAAATAAATGTATAATATTTTTAATTTCATAACAAATTGTATTTTAAATAAATAAATTTTGAACTAAAACACAAATATTATTTGAAATAATATAATTATTAATATTCATTAACTAATAATATGAGTGATAATAAAGTCGTGAAAATTTGTGAGGTTTGTGGAGACAAAGCAATCGGTATATTATTTAACAGCTAATATTTTTATTAGTAGTTAATAATTATAAAAAATATTCTACTTTTACTCTATTTATACAGGTAGAAATTTTACGGCTATAACCTGTGAACCATGCAAAGTATTTTTTAGGCGGACTGGACTTAAAAATAAAGTATTAATAATTTATATTTAAATTAACATGCACTATTAAATATTCTCGTATTAATGTAGCCATTAATATGTCCATCAAATGGCAAATGCATTATAAACTCATTGACCAGAAAAATATGTCAAAAGTGTAGACTTGAGAAATGCCTTACTGTGGGAATGAAAAAAGTATTAATTTATTAATTAAACGTTTTATTATATTAATTTTATTATAAAATAATTTGTTAGGAATTCATACGGAATGGAGAGGAAAATGAATTGAAAAAACAAATGCTTAGAGAAAACAAATTAAGACGAAAACTACATAAAGAAAGGACTAATTATATGACATCTCCAGACACTAACTCAACAAATGATACCGACTTTGGAAACGAAGTTTTAAGTGATTTGTTAGAAAAGTCCGTAAATATTAATGACAACGGTGTTAGTGATCAGAGTATGGGAATTGAAAGTGTGATCACAATTAATACAAATGTTAAAAACGGGAGATTATTATCGGATATAATAAGTAGATCTCAACGTATTTACTCATTAGTCCCTATGTATAAGGAGTTAACCGATTATAACGGTATGAATGAATTGGAGAGAAATAGGATCAGGGAAATAATGAGCGCTTCCAATGTGTGTAACTATCAATTGTCACAAAAAAGACATTTAATAAACACCCGGGAAGAATTTTGCAAAAAGTCTACAAATATCAATGAAAGTCTTATTAAAGATATGATTAGTTTTACTAAAAATTTGAGTGGATTTAAAACTATTTGTACCGAGGATCAAATATCATTATTCAAATATGGTTACAACGAATTGGCGATTGTGATATTATTTAAATATTATGACAAACAAAACGAGAATATATTAATGCCATTGGTTAGTGGCATAAATTATGTAACTTAAATATTTTAAATATTTTTATAAAACTCTATTGATATTTACCAGGATAATGGTGAGACTGGTCTAATTAGTGAAGATGTTTGGGATTATGGTGAATGTGATTCATGTACTGGTGCTTATACTAGGATTAGCGCAATGGTTGACAACGTTATATTAAATATAAACTTTGATGATACAATACTCATTTCACTGGTAAGAATTTATTCATATTATACATGTATTACAGTATACATATAATATATAAACAATATATATAATTATTGAACACTTTGATTTACATAAAGTTGACGGTTATCTTGTTATTCAACCCGAATCGCCCCCACCTAACCCATAGACACAAAGTTAAGTGAGTTTACATTTTGTGATTTATTTGAATTTCTTAATAATTAATATTTTTTAAATGCTGAATGGTTAGACTGGAACAGCATCTATACATATATTTATTGCAAAGGTATCTACAATTAAAATATGGACCAAATTCGGACTCGCAATCAATGTTATCATCAGTAATGACGAGTTTAATTGATTTGCATGTTATAAGTGAATTGGATCTGGCTCAAAGTGTGCGAGAATACAAACAACTTATTCATTATTTTGGACCACTTTTCAGAGAAATATATAATTTATAATTTGTAAATATATATGGTGCTTGTTATGATTAATATTTTGAAATGAAACTTCATTTAAAGAAATTTAAAATATTGTATAAATTAATATTTGTATGTAAATGTATTTTATATAAGATAGGCAATAGATTTATCATTTTATTCATTAAAAGGTTGTTGAGTGTCATTAAGAAAGTAGTCATTCATTAGGCAATAATATTGCAATCATTACAGTGAAGGTCTCGGTGTATGATTTGCACTACAGAGTACCCTGTATATACGCTGTAATCATAGTTACAGTCAATATCAACCTGTTAATAAATTCCTAGTACATTCATATTTATATTGTATAAAATAAACAACTCTGTAAAATAAAGTTATTTTATGCAAATATTATTTTTATGCGTTTTTAATAAATAACTTTAATTGAGTAAAAATAAAATATATTTTATTGACATTCATAGTAGTTGTCGGTATGAAACATCAACATTATGATGACATTATTTCAATTATTTCAATGCACATGCCTATTTCTATACCTTACCATGTATTGTCATAATTTATCAAAAGAAAAATAATTTTATTTTATGCCATTATAATTATTTATAATTGTTTACTCTACCAAATGTTACTATAATAGTAACCACTTATTCATGTGTTATTTAAAAATAATTCATTGAACTGTATTTTAACATTAAGTTTGTTTTATATTCTGTGAATAATTCTTAATTAATATATATTTATTACACTT